AATAGTGAGTTGGAAGTCATGCCTGACAAATCTTTTAGAGTTTTTCAAAGAGGTAACCAAGCAGATAGATAAGTGGATGTTGTCTGTATGGACTTTAGTAAGGCCTTTGACTAAGTCCTGCACGGCAGGCCAGTAAGGAAGGTTCGGTTGCATGGGATCCAGGGAGAGTTAGCTAATTGGATTCAAAATTTGCTTGATGGTAGGAAGCAGAGGGTGATGGTTGAAGGTTGTTTCTTGGATTGGAGGCCTGTGACTAGTGGTGTGCCACAGGGGTCGGTGCTGTGACCTTAGTTATGTGTTATTTAAATAAATGATCTGGTTGTGAATGTACAAGGTATGATTAGTAAGTTTGCCAATGATACAATATTAGGAGGTGTTGTTGATAGCGAGGGACGTTATCAAAAATAACAGAGGGATCTTGATCAGATGGGGAAGTGGGCTGACGATTGGCAATTGCAATTCAATACAGATAAGTGTGAGGTTTTGCACTTTGGAAAGTCACACCAAGGTAGGACTTGCACAGTAAATGTTAAGGTCCTGAGGAGTGTTGTGGAACAGAGGCACCTGGGAATACAAGTACATGGTTCATTGAAAGTGACATCATAAGTGGACAGGGTGGTGAAGAAAGCATTTAGTATGCTGGCCTTCATTGGTTGGAAAATTGAGTATAGGAGTTGGGATGTTATGTTACAGTTGTAGAAGTTGCTGGTAAGGCCACATTTGGAGGATTGTGTACAGATTTGGTCATCCTGTTATAGGAAAAACATTGTTAAACTGGAAAGTGTGCAAAGAAGATTTACAAGAATGTTGCTGGGACAAGGAGGCCTCAGTTACAAGGAGAGGTTGGCCAGGAGAGTACTTTATTCCTTGGAACATAGGAGAATGAGGTATGACCTTATTGAGGTATGTAAAATCATAATCAGCACAGATAGGATGAACGCATACAGTGTATTTTTCCCCAAGGATGGGGAATTGAAAACTAGAGGGCAAAGGTTTAAGAAGGACATGAGAGAGTGGTGCATATGTGGAATAGGTGGCCAGAGAAAGTGGTTGAGGCAGGTACAATAGCAGCATTGAAAAAAAAAACATATGAATAGCAATGATTTAGAGGGATATGGACCAAATTCAGGCAATTGGAACTAGCTGAATCGGCACCATGGTCAGCATGAACCAGCTTGAACTGAAGGGCCTTTCTCCATGCTGTATTACTGTATGACTGTATGACCTCAGACTACATTGGGACCTTGATCAAAAGGACCAATGGGCTGGGGAGTGTCAGATGGAGTTTAATCTTGATAAGCATGAGGTGCTACATTTTACAGGGGAAAATCAGAGCAGGAATTGCAGGCTCCAGGGAAGCCAAACCGAAGGGTCTTCGAGTGCAGGTTCACAGCTCCTTGAAATGGAGTTACAGATAGACAGGTCAGCAAAGAAGGAGTTTGATACACTTGCCTTTATTGGTCAGTGCATTGAATGTACGGATTGAGAGGTCATGTTGCGACTGTACTGAACATTGGTTAGGCTACTTTTGAAAAACTGCATTCAGTTCTGGTGTCCCCTTAAAATAGGGAAGGTGTTTTTAAACTTGAAAGGGTTCAGAAAATGTTTAAAACGTTGTTGCCACGGTTGGAGGCTTGGCCTTTCGGGAGAGACTGAATAGACAGGGCTTATTGGGGCTTATTTTCCATGGAGTGTTGGAGGCTGAGTGGTGACCTCCTAGAAGATTATAAAATTATAAGGGGCATGGATAGGGTGAATAATAAAGTTCTTTTGCCCAGAGTAGAGGGATCCAAAACTGGAGGACATGGGTTTAAGGTGAGAGGTGAAAGGTTTAAAAGTAACCTAAGGTGAGCAACGTTTGCTCGCAGCGAGTGGTGCGTAACTGGATTGAACTGCCGAAGGATGTGGTGGAGGATGGGACAATTACAACATTTAAAAGGCTTCTGGATGGGTACAGGATTAGGAAGGGTTGAGAATGAAATGGGCCAAATGATGGCAAATGGGACTAGATTAATTTACGATATCTGGTTGTCATGGTCGAGGTGGACCCAAGAGTGCTATACATCTCTATGACTGTAAGACAGGAACAGATTGTGAGACAATAATAATCATTCACACTGCATAAACAGACAGGACAGATAGATGCACTCGCATTTTCACATAGCAGAGACTGACAGATATTGGACAAACTATCCCTCAATGAACCTGAATCTCTTAACAACACTACTATTAACGGTGTAATGCAGTAATCACAGAGTGATGAAACAAAATAATATGTTACACACAAAAGATTGTCATGAACAGAATAAAACACATTGCCACAATTAAAATCTCACAGGTATTGTGTTCAAAATATCATTAAATGACAATAACCAGTTAATTTTAGAGTGAGCTCGGAGTTTGATCCGTGTACAAAATTTGGTTTGTGTTTCGCATTTCGTTGCAGATCCTGACAGATCCACATTGTGTCCCACACTAACCAATCACAGTGTGGCTGATGTCATGGATTCTTGTAAACTACCCAATCAGGAACAAGGCTTTCCCCCATCCTTCATTAGCATTTTTGACACCGTCAGGCTATAAAAAGCGAGCTCCGAGTCCGCTTTCCCTTATTCTATGTGTGAAAGTGGCCGTCGCTACGGCAGATGAGAAGAAAGCGCAGCCAACCTCCAAGAAGGGCGCGAAGAAAATCATCAAGAAGGCGCCAGGAAAGGCAGCAAGAAAAGGAAACGATCCAAGAAAGTTACTCCATCTACATCTACAAAATGATGAAGCAGGTTCACCCCGACACTGGCATCTCCTCCAAGGCTATGAGCGTCATGAACTCGTTCGTCAATGATATTTTCGAGCGTATCGCGGGGGAGGCTTCCCGCCTGGTCCATTACAACAAGCGCAGCACCATCAGCTCCCGGGAGATCCAGACCGCCGTGCGGCTGCTGCTGCCCGGGGAGCTGGCCAAGCACGCCGTGTCGGAGGGTACAAAGGCGGTGATGTCCCTCGCCTTTTTTTTTAATATAAATGTTTTAGAAGTTAATGTGTGGTTCATGATCTTCTGCCGTTTATTTTCGGTTGCGGCCATACGCTGTGTCTTTTCCCTGTCTCTACAGAGCATAATTATTGCCACTTAGTCATTTCTCAGCAACTTCCATTTTTTCAAGTTCCTCTTTAACACTTGATCACCCCGGGAAGCAAAATTAACTTCGAATCCCATGAATAGATTTTACAATCTACTTGTTTTTCTTTTAATTTCACAATGAACCGAGATAAAGCCAGAGCAGCTGCCGAATTACGATAGCAAGTGTGAAATTGTGCCTGAAGTCTGATCAAGGACAATAGGGGAGGGCAACTTCAAACTGTTGTTTTAAAGTTTGAACGCGATCACCCGGAAGAACATTGTGTGAGGTTTTGTCAATATTCGGTGTGCACTTGAAAAGTGAAATTAAAAAAAAGAATATGTGCAGAATGCAGTGCTTTTGTATTTTTTTTCTATTTCCGCTTGTTCCTAACTTCAGAAAATTCTATTCAGATGCAGAAATGGACGGATTCGAGTAGACGAGAGAATGGGATAAAGAAAAATTGTGTAAAGTATTGATTTGTAATGTCAATGTAATTTAACTTATAAAAGAAAAGTTAAATTGTTCATTGTTCTTCCTCTTTTGTACATGTTGGACGGTTTTTCAAACAAATCGCGGTCGGTTCTGAACCCTGAATTCCACCTGTGGCAACGAAAAAAAGTGACCCCGTATTTGAGTTCCACGAATAGAAATATCTTGCGATATTAGTTTTATTTCAATTTCCAAAACGCTCCGCGGGATTTGTATTTATTTTTCAAAATGCATTATGTGGGGCTTTCTGTTGTCACTGAGAGGCTTTCAAAATGAACCGAGATCAACCGGAAAGTCTGATCTATCACAATAAGTAAGGGCCACTTTACAAAATTGCCTGAAAACAGTGCTGCCTATTTATGCGCTCAGCCGGATGAACGTTGCCTGTTGGCTTATCAATCTATTGGGGAGCGTTTAAAAATGTGAAATACAAAAACAGAAGATGCAGCCTGCGTACTGGCGCTTTGTTTTATTTTGTATCAGCCTGTTCTCAACATTCGGAAAACTCCATTCAAATCAGAAATGGGTGGATTCAATTAGGTTCATAGAGTGAGATAGAGAGATGGAGTGAAGTTTCCATTTGTAATCTAAAAGGAAACTAAATCGTAAGCATTTATGCATTATTCTTTGTAAAACGTCTTCCTCGTTTTGTCCATATTGGTGGGCTTTTCAAATCTGAAAGAAAACGGTTGATGATTTGGCGCCGGTATTTTTCAACAGTTTCCACAGTGAGGAATTTTGTTTTATTTTCAAATCTTCCCGCGTGTTCCCTCCGGTTTTGCAGAAAGCTGTAAATGAGGCTTTCTGCTGTCGGGTGGAGAATTTCAAAGTGAACCGAAATGAAACTAGAACAGCTGCCGGATTGACATAGTAAATGTGGAACTATTGTTGAAGTCTAATCTAGTGCAATAGGGAGGGCGATTTTAAAATATTGTTCAAAGCATCAATGCACTCACCCGGACAAAAGAAAAAGTAGCTGTGTCATCCTTTTCTCAATATATCTGGGTGCTGATGTGAAATAGAATCTGTGCAGGGAACAGATTTCGGCAGGGTTTTTTTTTGCGTCCGTTTATTCTTAAGGTTCGGGGAAACAATCCTTTCATGGTCACAAAGTGTCAGATTTAAGTAGGCTAGGGAACGAGAGAGATAGATTGTGTGAAGTATGTCCGTGTAATCTGATAGTAAATTAAATCAAATATGTATGCATTTTTCTTTGTTAGACTTCTTCCTGGTTTGTACATAATGGCGGGTTTTTGGAGTTTGAAAGAAAGCGGTTGATGACTCGGCGCCGGTATTTTCCGGCTTTCTCTTCGGATTGGTGAATGAAGCAGATATCTGATTGGGAATTGAAACGACATTAGGAGAAGCTAAACAATGTGGCCAATCTTCAATGACCGCACCCCCATTCCTCCCGAAGGTATAAGAGGCGGGGATGTGGGTGGGTTGCAGCATTCTTTGTGAAAGTGCTTGTGAAATTTTGGCCATTATTGGGAGAGGAAAGGGCACTGGTGGGAAAGCTCGATGGAAGGTGAAGTCCCTGTCGTCCCGGGCTGGCCTGCAGTTCCTGGTGGGCCGTGTTCACAGGCTCCTGAGAAAGGGTAACTATGCTGAGCGTGTGGGTGCCGGAGCGCCGGTCGATCTGGCTGCGGTGCTCGAGTATCTGACGGCTGAAATCCTCGAGCTGGCCGGTAACGCGGCCCGGGACAACAAGAAGACCCGCATCATCCCCAGGCACCTCCAGCTGGCCGTGCGCAACGACGAGGAGCTCAACAAGCTGCTGGGAGGGGTGACCATCGCTCAGGGTGGGGTGTTGCCTAATATCCAAGCCATGCTGCTGCCCAAGAAAACCGCCGCTGGGGGCGCCGCTAAAAAGTAAAGAGACCGCTATTTCATCTGACGACCCAAAGGCTCTTTTAAGAGCCACCCACAGCATCTGTGAAAGAAACTAGTCCCTCCCCACTGTCGGAATGACTTGTTTGCTTTAATTGTTTGATGTTAGTTTCAGTCCCGTTGTTATTGGATACTCTTACTGTCACTGCGTGTATGATCTAACATGAAATGTTTATTAATAGCCTACAGTCGGTCACGTTCACGTTAAGAACGGAAGCCCATGGAGAGTGAAACGTTTATCATGAATTTATAGTAAATCGCAATTGTAATAGCGTTAGGATTGCATTATTTGTTCCTGCTCTGTAACGGCCTCTGACTTTAATCATCGTCCTATGAATGTATCTCTCTGTCTCACCGGTTTCATATTTCCTTTGATGGCATTTAGGAATACCCAATGTAGCAAGTACATTCAGTTTTAATGATGAGTGGTCACGCTCAACTTCACCTCGACGCTTTATTCTCGATTACTTTCGTGAACAGACTCCTCCTTCATGCCCGTCGAGAGGGGGCATAATAAAGGCCACAGTCATTTTCAGCCACTTCTTTTGGTTCAATTTGCTCTTTAATACTCGATCAGTCAGACAGCTACAAGCCCCGTTGGGATGGGACCTGAGTTTGACCCCTAGCAAACAAAAGAAGTGTCCAATCTTTAAATCCCACGAATATGTACATTTTACGCTTACTTCTTAACTTTCAAAACACCGAGGGGTTTTGTCCGCTTGCAGAATGCTGTCAGCAAGGCTTTCTGCTGTCTATTAGAAGCTTTCAAAACAAACCAAGATAGAACCAGAAGAACTGCCTGACTGCAACTCAGTCAAACAGCACAGAAACAGACCCTTCGGCCCAACCAGTCCATGCTGACCATAATCTCAAACTTAACTAGCCCCACCTGCCTGATCTTGGCCCATAACCCTCCAAACCTTCCCTAATCATGTACTTGTCCAGATGTCTCTTAAACATTGTGACTGTATCCACATCCGTCAGTTCCTTTGCACGTTCATTCGACACACAAACCACACTTAAAATAAATCGTTTTTAAATCTTCCTTCTCTTAACTTAAAAATATGGCCCCCTTGTCAAAAAGTTCCCCCACCCTCTGAGAAAAAGATACCTAAACATTCAGCTTACCGACACCCCTCATGATTTTAAAACTTCTATAAGTTCACCCCTCAAGCTCTTATACTCCTGGCGGAAAACAAAGTCCCAGCCTATTCAGCCTGTTCTTATAACTCAAACCCTCTATTTCCAGCAACATCCTGGTAAATCTTTTCTGAAGCCTCTCCGGTTCAATAATATCCTTCTGGTAACAGGGTGACCAGAACTTGAGATAGTACTTCAGAAGAGGTCTCCATAATGTCCTGTACAACCTCAACATCCTGTTCCAACTCCAAGACTCAAAATTCTTTGAGAATGTGACAAAACACATTGATGAAGGCATAGCAGTGGATGTGGTGTATATGGATTTTAGCAAGGCATTTGATAAGGTTCCCCATGGTCGGCGCATTTGGAAAGTAAGAAGGCACGGGATTCAAGGAAATTTGGCTGTCTGGATACAGAATTGTCTGTCCAATAGAAGACAGAGGGTGGTAGCAGATGGAAAGTATTCAGCTTGGAGCTCAGTGACCAGTGGTTTTCCACAGGGATCTGTTCTGGGACCTCTGCTCTTTGTGATCTTTACAAATGACTTGGATGAGGAAGTGGAAGGGTGGGTTAACAAGATTGCCAAAGACACGGAGGTTGGTGGAGTTGTGGATAGTGTGAAGGGCTGTTGTAGGTTGCAACAGGACGTTGACAGGATGCAAAGCTGGGCAAAGAAGTGGCAGATGGCATTCAACCTGGAAAAGTGTGAAGTAATTCATTTTGGAAAGTCAAATTCTTGACCTTGTGGAGGAACAGGGATCTTGGGGTCCACGTCCATAGAAGGCAACTTTTGCCTTAATCTGCAGCTCAGATTGGAAGACAGATCAATGACACACTCTGATTTTATAAGGAAGTACAGCATTTTTATACACTTTGTTACAATAATCAAGTGCAAAGTGGTCACTTTCCTTCCTCTCTAATCCAAATACCCAATCCCATGGGACAACTAATCAATC